GCGGAGGCTAAATCACTGGGTGATTTAGCCTCTGCACATTCCAACTGGTAAAGTTTGTCTTTACTCCACCCATTTTATGGGCTGTTGAAAACATTTATCACAAGCATCCGAAGCACCCGAAAGGTATCTGTGGGTTTTTATGTAGGGGGATGTGTGAGGGAGAGAGAGGAAAGAAATAAAAAAAGGTGTGATCGCACATACACTTTTATAAACACGAAACAACACAAGATTGAAACCTTGGTGTAAACTTACACACACTTCCACCTACTCACACTCTTAAGGCTGATTTATACTTCTGCGTCAAACGGCGGCGTATGCTACGGCGCTGACGCATAGCCCTTCGCCGTGGCCGTGGCCGTCACTGACGTGCACCTCTCAAAAAATATAAGTACACGTCGCAACGACGCATAGCGTAAGCTCTGTGATTGGTCGGCTTGGTAGCGCTGACGAGTCTGGGCGGGACCGAGAGCCGCGCGAATGGCGCGAGCGATTGTTTACAAGTGTGGAGTCCCGTGAAGGAGCTCTGGATGGAAAGTTTTGTTTAGTGTTTACCTCATAGTTAAAATTGTTGCACGTCTCCCGGTCTGCCTCAAAAAGAGCAAGTTTGAGCCACTTGTACATCTCGGAAGTGTTCAGGAAAAGCAAAAAAGCCATGAAGAAACTCGACACAGAGGAACATTTACACCTCTGTGCCAACTAGCGTTTCAGAAGTGTTAATGCAGAAGTATAAATGCACAGCCACGCGCGTTGCCTGCGACGTGGGTTACGCCGGTCACCTGACGCAGAAGTAGAAATCAGGCTTTAGCTAGCTGACCATGTGGGACCTCACGTATAAAACAAAACCATTTGAACAGCGCTTGATGTTTTACGACAAAACGACCTCATTACTGACTAAATATACTTGGGAACTAGAAATAACAACAACCAACATGTGCTATAGTGGTTATTTAAAAGTTAACCGGAGAGCGACATTAAAATTTGTATTGTCATTCACAGCCCAGTGTACTGTTGTCTTTATTTCAGTGGCTTTCTTCAAAATATCTTCTTTTTCGGAAAAGTAGTGGCATTTAATCACGAAGGCGCTTGGCGGTTCCTGGTCATCCACTGGTTTGCTGCATAGAGTGTAGTGTGCCTGGTCCAGAAGAGGAGTCTTCTCGAGGTTTAGTGTATCTTTTAGAAGTATCTTGCATGATTATATGCTGTCATGGCTATAATATATATATATATATATATATATATATATATATATATATATATATATATATATATATATATGTTGCTATAATAAAGGCCAATGAAGAAAAAAATGGCCATGAATATCAAATCACTTTTATTGTCACATCATCAGCAGCACGTGTGCTATGATGAGTGAAAAGCTTAGGTGCTGGCTCTACACAGTACAAAATACAGACAGTGCAAATATAACGACAGTGCAAAATACAGATAGTACAAAATAATTTGGCAGCATTATAATTGTTGACAGCGATATGTATAATGAATATGTGTACCCATAGTTGTAGGCAGTATTGTTTTAGGTATGTATTGGTTAAAGTGCCGTGCATGCTACATATACATGGTGTGCAGTGAGGGGTATTAAGTGTTCATCAGCCTGATAGTCTGAGGGAAGAAGCTTTCCTTTAGTTGGCTGGTGCGCGACCGGATGCTGCAGAACCATTTGCCTAAGGGTAGCAGAGAGAAAAGTCTATGGCTTGGGTGGCTGGAGTCGCTTATAGTTCACTTGGCTTTTCTCATGCACCGCCTGGTGATGTCGTGATGGGAGGGAAGCTCACCTCCTACTACGCGTCCAGCAGTTCACACAATCCTATGTAGGCCTTTGCGATTGCTGCTGGTGCTATTTACATACCAGGTGGTGATACAGCCACACAGGATGCTCTCCACAGTGCAGGTGTAGAACGAGCGGAGGATGTGAGGGCTTATTCCAAACCTCCTGAGACGCCTGAGGAAGAAGAGGCGTTGTTGTGCCTTCCTTAGCACTGCGTCTGTGTGAGCAGTCCATGTCAAATCCTTAGCAATGTGTACTCCAAGAAACTTGAAAGCGCTGACTCTCTCCACTGGTGTTCCGTTGATGGTGATGGGGGTGTGTTCTCTTTTCTCCCAGCTCCTTGGTTTTGCTGATGTTGAGTGAGAGGTGGTTTTCCTCACACCACTGCGTCAGAGTGTAAACCTCCTCTCTGTAGGCCATCTCATCATTATCTGTGATTAGGCCCACCACTGTCATCAGCAAATTAACGATGACGTTGGAGCTGTGTTTGGCTGTACAGTCGCGTGTGTACAGGGAGTAGAGGAGTGGACTGAGAACACAGCTCTGTGGATCATCAGTGTGGATCAGGTCATGTTGTTCATTCTGACCACCTGGCGTCTGCTTGACAGGAAGTCCAGGATCTAGATGCACATAGAGCTGTGTAGACCCAGAGCTTGGAGCTTCACCACTAGTTTGGCAGGCACTATAGTGTTGAATACTGAGCTGTAGTCCACAAACAGCATTCTCACATATGTGTTTTTGTTTTCCAGGTGAGACAGAGCAGTGTGCAAGGTGAAAGCAATTGCAACATCAGTGGAGCGATTTATTCCTGTAAGCAAATTGCAGAGGGTCAGTGTGAGCAGGGCAGTACAGAGCAGATGTGCTTTTTAAACAGCTTCTCAAAGCACTTGCTGAAGATGGGTGTCAGAGCAACTGGACGCCAGTCATTTAAGCATGTGGTTTTAGATTATTTCGGTATGGGCACAATAGTAGCTGTCTTAAAGCATGTGGGAACCACAGACCGAGAGAGCGAGAGGTTAACGATGTCCGTGAAAACCCCCGCTAGCTGGTGTGCGCATGCTTTAAGTACACGTCCAGGGATGCCATCTGGGCCGTAGCTTTCCGGATGTTCCGGAAAGATCTCGTTACGTCTGCTACAGAAACAGAGTGTGCTGGCGGTTTCGGTATCGGCCGCGGGAGCGCACAGTGTGTGGGTGCTGTCCTGGGCTTTAAAGCAGGTGTAGAATGAGTTGAGCTCGTCCGGGAGAGATGCAGAAATGTTTACATTGGCGGTGTAGCGGCTTACCAATGCCGCTATTGTTGGTAGAGTGAGCAAGTTTTTAACGCGTAAAAGACAGAGTCCGTAAGCAAATAGATGCAAATAAAAACATATTTATTGTCCAATCAACTTCCAATCAACAGAATTACTCAATCGCTTTCCTTTATCTAAAAGCACACTTCTCTGTTACCTTCAATTACGAGATGATACAATACGGTCAAAAACTGTGTGCTTCCTACCAACACTGTCTTCCTCCATGCAGTGAAGCCACAGTTATATAGTGTCGTACTGACACCTTGTGGCCAATCGCCAATATACAATGTATGGCTCCTACAGGCGGGCCACATTCTCCTCCCCTCTACCTTGTACCTCTGTATTGATGTTTTGCTGCTTTGATAGTTTACCTGAGGTTGTAGTTTGCTTGTTTTTGTTCCTCAGCATTTCTGGATTTATAGGCGGAGGTTCACACTGATAGGGCTGTTCGAACTTCGCCATCAATCCATGGTTTTGGGTTGGGGTAGATACGAACAGTTTTTGTTGGGACCATGTCTTCTATACACTTTCTGATGAAGCATGTAACGGTGTCTTGAGTAAACTTTAATGTCGTCATCAGAAGCTGCCCGGAACATCTCCCAGTCCACATGATCAAAACATTTTTGAAGTATGGAACTCGATTGGTCCGTCCAGCTTTGAAACGTCTTGAGGGTGGGTGGTTCCCGTTTCAGTTTCTGTCTGTAAGCAGGCAAGAGCAGAACAAAAGAGTCATCTGATTTGCTTAGCGGTGGGCGGGGGAGGAATTTGTTGGCGTCCCGGAACGGAGAATAGCAGTGGTCCAAAATTCGGTCACCACGCATGTTTGTGGTGATATGGTGATAGTATTTTGGAGTGATTTTCCTGAGATTGGCATTGTTAAAGTCCCCTGTAACAATAAACGCTGCCTCTGGGTGTGTGGTTTCCTGCTCGCTTATGCTCCCATTCAGTTCCCTAAGCGCCTGCTCTGTGTTGGCTTGAGGGTGGATGCAAACATCTGTAATTATAACAGCTGTGACCTCTCTTGGTGGCCAGTGTGGTTGGCACCGAAGCATAAGGTATTCCAGATCAGGAGGACAAAATGATCTAACTGGATGTATGTTTCTCTTATCTCACCATGAGTTAATAAAGAAAGAAACACCTCCTTCTTTGCTTTCCCTTGTTGGTTCTTTCATTCTATCCACAGTATCTTATCCATAGTATTCTATCCATAGTATTCCCTGTCTGCTAAACAAATTTTAGAGAAACATTTTGTTGTAATTATGAATGTATACAAAAAATAGGCCATTGTTACGACCCCCTCGTTAGAGTTGCAACATAAAAGAGCTCAGACAACAAAAAGATTATATATGCAACTTATTTATTATACACAACTAATAAAACAACAAATCAAGAAACAAACAAATGTCTAAGGGAAAATAAAGAAAATAACTAACTTTAACTACACATATAAATAATGCCAAACAAAACCATAAGGTTGCCAAAATAATGAGATGGTCTTGATGCAAGGACAGCCAGTAGCCACACTATCCTACAGAAGCTAGCTCACTCTCGCATTTATATGCTTTGAACCACACCATTTACACCTTTCAAATCTGCGACCTATCAATGTGACCAAAATTACTTTTATGATCAATTATGTAAGAAACTCTCAAAACTGGACTGACACCGTTTCAATTTACTGTAAGTTCTATGTTAAGCGGCTTTGACAGTTTACATTGTACAAGCACTAGATAAATAAAGATGAATAGAATCTGCTTAAATGTGTACACGTTAATGGACCAAACACAATATGATCTGATTTATTTAACATTTAATGTGCATCACAAATACAATGTGTGTAGCCAATGTTTCCAGTGTCTTTTCACTTTTCAGCTTTTGATGAGAGTTTTTAAGACTTAATGAAAACTTTTTTTTTCAGACCTAATTGAAGAGAGTGAGGGGAGTAAAGAGGAGGAACATCATGTTAAAATTGAGGACAAAAATCATTTACAGACTGATGGTATTTTGAAAAGGAGAGACAAGAATCGTTTCACCTGTACTCAGTGTGGGAAGAGTTTTGGAGGAAATGGCAATCTTAAGATTCACATGATGATCCACACTGGAGAGAAACCATTCACATGCACTCAGTGTGGGAAGAGTTTCAGCCAATCATCACACCGTAATGACCACATGATGATTCACACCGGAGAGAAACCATTCACGTGCACTCAGTGTGGGAAGAGTTTCATCCGGTTATCATTGCTTAATCAACACATGATGATTCACACTGGAGAGAAACCATTCTCATGTACTCAGTGTGGGAAGAGTTTCAGGCAAACATCATACCTTAATGAACACATGATGATCCACACCGGAGAGAAACCATTCACATGCACTCAGTGTTGGAAGAGTTTCAGCCGCTCATCAGACCTTAATCTACACATGAGGATCCACACTGGAGAGAAACCATTCACATGCACCCAGTGTGGGAAGAGTTTCAGCTGCTCATCATCCCTTAATAAACACATGAGGATTCACACTGGAGAGAAACCATTCACATGCACTCAGTGTGGGAAGAGTTTCAGCCAATCATCAGACCTTAATAAACACATGATGATCCACACTGGAGAGAAATCATTCACATGCACTCAGTGTGGAAAGACTTTCAGCCGCTCATCAAACCTTAATCAACACATGAGGATCCACACTGGAGAGAAACCATTCACATGCACTAAGTGTGGGAAGAGTTTCAACTGCTCATCACACCTTAATCGACACATGAGGAATCACACTGGAGAGAAGCTATTCACATGCACTCAGTGTGGGAAGAGTTTCAGACAACCATCACTCCTTTATCTACACATGATAAGCCACAACAGAGAGAAACCCACAGCTTCGGTGTGGGATGAGTTTCAGCAACTCCTCAGACCTTAATAAACACATGATGACCCACACTGTAGATAAACCATTCACATGCACTCTGTGTGGGAAGAGAATCAACCAATCAGTCAACCCTAATGAACACATTAAGATCCACACTGGTGTGAGAGAGTATTTGTGCTTTGAGTGTGAGAAGACTTTTATTACAGCTCTAAAATTAAAACTGCACCAGACATTTCACACTGGACAGTAGTGATGGGAAGTTCATATCATTTTACTTACTGGGATCTTTGAGTCTCATTCATCAAGATGACAGTATCTTTTTTCGGAGTCACGTGACGGTAATGGCGGAGTAGCAGCTCAAGATTTGGTCTCAAGATATATTATGTTAAGAGGCTCTCTTTATGGGCAAGAAATTTCAGTTTTAAATTTATATTTTCCACCTATTCAGACCACAGATTTTATTTCTAAGGTTTTTTTTTAAATTTGCGCATTGGCTTTGTGACAACACAGTTATAGCTGGTGATTTTAATTGTTTTTTCTCCTCATTAGTAGATAAATGTCCTTCAACACAAAATCGTAGTCAGATGTCGAATAGAGCCAAAGCTGTTTTGGATACCTGCAAAGAACTTGATCTGGTTGATACTTGGAGGGTGTTACACCCTAATGAGAAGGAGTTTACATATTATTCAGCTGTTCATAAAACCAGTAGTAGAATTGACTTGATCTTCAACCCCTAAAATTTCTTTTAGTAAAGTTGAGTATTGTAATTTTGGGGATATTTTGATATCCGATCAAGCACCGCTCTGTATAGGCATAAATTTCAGTAATTTGACACTCTCTAATAAACAATGGAGTTATAATTTATACCTAAATTTTGACCCTAATTTTGAAGGTTTTTTAACAGAACAGATGAATCACTTTTTTTGTAGAAAACAAAACTCCGGGTGTTTCTCCAGGTTTACTTTGGTATACAGAAAAAGCATATGCTCGAGGTTTAATTATATCATATTCAGCTGGGCTTAGGAAAAAAGTAGAAGAGAACAGAGAAACTTAGAGCTCAAACTACATGATCTACAGGCCAGATATAATTTATCTCCCTCAGATGAACTAAGATGTGACATACAAATAACAAAAACTGCATTGGAAGCGATACTTACGAAAAAGGCGGAGAAATCAATGTTCTTTGTAAAGCAAAGTGTACGAATTTGCTAATAAACCTAATCGCTATTTGGCTAATCTTTTGCAGCTTAGGACATCTACTCAAAATATACCTTGTATTAAAGAGTTGAATGGTTCTTTGAATTATAATAATAAGGAAATTAATAATAGTTTTAGAATCTTTTTTGAGCAATTGTACACATCTCAATTTAATTATAGTGCGGAAATTAATATGGAAGCTTTTTTTACAAACCTATCTCTTCCTCAAATTTTAAATGACCAGAGAAAGATATTAGATGCTCCATTAACTCTCAGTGAATTTAAGAATTGTATTCAATTTCTCCCTAATAACAAGGCACCAGGTCCTGATGGTCTCAGTGCAGAGTTTTATAAAAAAGTTTGTCAGTATTTTATCTGGCCCATTACATGAGATGATTCTTCACTCATTTGAAAAAGGGGTCCTTCCCCCTTCAATGATGGAAGCTAATATTTCCTTGGTTCATAAAAAAAGTAAACCAGCTGATGAATGCTCCTCTTATATGCCCATATCTGTTTTAAATATAGATTCTAAGCTTTTTGTCAAAGTACTGGCTTCTCGATTGGAGTCAATACTACCTTTTATTATTAATAACGATCAGACAGGATTTATACGGGGTAGATTCTCATCACATAATATAAGAAGGCTTTTTAACATTATTAAACATTGTTCTTTGTATAGCCCAGACTCACTGGTTATATCACTTGATGCAGAAAAGGCTTTCGATCGGTTGGAATGGCCATACCTTTTTTTTGTGCTTAAAAAATTTGGGTTAGGGGCTGACTATATTATTTGGATCTGTATATTATACAATTTTCCTCTTTCTGCTGTAATTACTAATAGTCTTCGATCTAGTAACTTTAACATTGAAAGAGGTACAAGACAAGGATGTCCATTGAGCCCTTTACTTTTTGCCCTGGCAATGGAACCCTTAGCGGTAAAAATAAGACAGGATACAAATATCCAAGGTATCTCTTTAAAGGATCAACAGCATAAAATTTCGTTATATGCTGATGATGTTTTGATTTACTTAGAGTCCCCTAAGAAATCTATACCTAATTTGATAACACTAATTAATGATTATGGATCTTTCTCTGGTTACAAAATAATTTTTTCTAAGAGCGAAGCCATGCCTCTTAATAATTCGCATAGATTAAATCCTAGTATATCGCATCCATTTCGGTGGTCCCCTGGGGGCTTTTATTACTTGGCCATAAAAGTTTCCTCTCAGATATCAGACTTATGAAGTCGAAACTTCATTCCCCTTTTACAATCGGTAATACAAAATGTGGATAGGTGGTGTGCCCTACCATTATCCTTACTGGGTCGTAATCATCTCATTAAAATGAATGTTCTTCCACGCTTTCTCTACTTATTTCAAATGCTCCCTATTAAAATTACTAAAAAAGTTATAGCCCAGTTGAATAGTGCTATAATTTCATTTATTTGGGCTAAAAAAAAGACCAAGACTACGATATAGTGTCCTTTTTCTCCCCATTAAATCAGGTGGTTTAGCTGCCCCATCCTTTTTATAGAATTATCTGGCTGCTCAGTCTAGGTTTCTTTTAGAATGGCTTATAGATGACCCAGAATCTACTTGGATTGGACCTGAAGCTGCATCCCTGGACGGGATTCCCCTACGTAATTTGCTTTATATCTCAACTGCTAAAGCTTCTGCTCTGATCAAAGGTAATAGTATTTTAAAGAATATGTTAGACATATGGTGACAAACTAGAAAACGTTAAGGTTATGAGAATTGTTTCTCACTATCAACCCCTCTCTATGGAAATCCAGATTTCCCACCAGGCCTTAGAGCTGGGCTGGAAGATTGGAGTGATAAGGGCATTAAAGTGGTGGGTGATATTATTCAGGATGGTACGATTCTCACATTCCAAGAGATTAAGTATAAGTTCAGTATTCCTAATGCGGACTTTCTTAAGTATCTGCAGGTTCGAAACTTTATTTTGACAAAATATAGAGATTACCCAGGAGGATTTGGTATTTACCCAGTTGAATCACTTCTTGCCATTGAGAAGCAGGTCAAATGCATTACACGGCGTGTCTATGTAACCAGTTCTGCGTTGTGTTTTCTTATTTTTATGAAGGAATAACCAGTCGGAGATCTGCAGTTGTGACGGCTCTTTACTCACTGAGAATAAACCAAAAGCACAGCTTTTACAGTGCGTCTTCGCCCTTACAGCTTTTCTCTCCTATGCGCAGTCAGTGCAAAAAGGGGACAGATGGAGAGAGAGATAGAACAAAACTCCAAACAATATTAACAAAGTGACAACCCAGCTAGAAATTTTACATTCCCTGAATGTTAAGGACGTTCTGAGAATGTCACAATGTTAAGTTCTTTAAAGGTTTGGAGGACCTTTACAGAACATTCAGAACGTTCTCAGAATGTTTAGGGGACTAAACCTTATTGGAAAATTTGACATTCTCATAACGTGCTTGTTGGTGTTAAGGCCGTTGTCTAGTAACGTTCCCAGAAAGACAAGATGTGGAATTCTTTAAAGGTGTGAGGGACGTTATTTTGCGGACCTTCACAGAATGTTATTTTCTTGTCCTGAAGGTTAGAGACAGAAAGAGCTCAATCAATAAAATGTTACTAAAATTGGCTTTATTGGCAGAAAACATAAAGCATTTGTCAAACAATTTAATTTTTAATATGCTGTGTTCGTGTGTGTTTGTGTGTGTCTCTTAGTCACATTCTCTATCGTCTAGTTGTCTTTCTGCTGCCTGAAACAAAGCATAAATAACAATATTTACAAATAAGTTCACTTACTTTGTATTTATTTTATTTTTTTACTTTCAGGTGTACACAGTGGTGCTTGAGTCTTATAAAATAATTCAAAATTAATATATTTTGAAATTAAAAAAACTGCATAAATCTCCATATCTACATCCCACTTATATATTATTAAAGAACTGCCACTCAAATATTTTTTGATAAGAAAACGGTGTTGCACACTCCACTGAAGACATCCATAAGCCTACATAGTTATTTTCGTTTGCGAAGCGCATAAATTTGTTTCCAAACTACTTCTTTCTTTTTTTTTTATTAGAATATGCAAAAATCTTACAAATACAAGTACAACATCAACAAATAACAAATACAAAGCAACGAAACAAAAACAAGTATGTGCATGAGTGTGTGTGTGTGAGTGTGTGTATGCATGTAAAGGTAACTTGGTGGACAGGTCAGAGTACATACATTAGGAACAATAACAGTCAGTAAATGAAGCAAGAGTCACAGATATAGATAAAACATATAGAAGAAACCAGCCTTGCAACTGCTAACACGTGCACTGGGCATATATCCAGGGCCACATTCTGTCCAGCGTTACAAGATGAAATCAGGATTTAGCAGAAGATTGTCACGGGTAGGGAAGGTATTCCTGTAAACGGTGTCTAGGTCTTGAAAGGGCTCGTCATCAGCTCAGCTAGTTCAGTCGGTAGAGCATGAGACCCTTAATTTCAGGGTTGTGGCTTCAAGCCCCACGTTGGGCGTTTCTGTTACTTTTCTCTCTTTCTCTCAGCAAACTTACATTAGGGTTCATATAGCAGACCTTTTGAGACAAAGTTACGCCTTTCTACCACTGTAGGTGACCTTTTACTAAGTCTCTGTGGCGCAATCAGTTAGCACATTCGGCTGTTAACTGAAAGGTTGGTGGTTGAAGCCCACCCAGGGACGAATTAGGCATTTTGCTGCCTTGCAACTGCTAACACGTGCACTGGACATAGATCCTGGGCCACATTCTGTCCAGCGTTACAAGATGAAATCAGGATTTAGCATAAGATTCTCACGGGTAGGGAAGGTATTACTGTAAACGGTGTCTAGCTCTTGAAAAATCTCTTTATCCACCCGGCTAGCTCAGTCGGTAGAGCATGAGACTCTTAATCTCAGAGTCCTGGGTTAGATCCCCACGTTGGGCATTTTGTTGCCTCTCTCTCTCAGCAAACTTTCATTAGGGTTCATATAGCAGACATTTTGAAACAAAGTTCCGCCTTTGCACCACTGTAGGTGACATCTTACTAAGTCTCTGTGGCGCAATCGGTTAGCGCGTTCGACTGTAAACTGAAAAGGTGGTGGTTCAAGCCCACCCAGGGACGAATTGGGTATTTTGCTGCCTTGCAACTGCTAACACATGGACTGGGCATATATCCTGGGCCACATTCTGTCCAGCGTTACAAGATGAAATCAGGATTTAGCAGAAGATTCTCACGGGTAGGGAAGGTATTACTGTAAACGGTGTCTAGCTCCTCATCAGCTCGGCTAGTTCAGTCAGTAGAGCATGAAACCCTTAATCTCAGGGTCGTGGGTTCGAGCCACACGTTGGGTGTTTCTGTTGCCTCTCTCTCTCTCTCAGCAAACTTTCATTAGGGTTTATATAGCAGACCTTTTGAAACAAAGTTCCGCCTTTCTACCACTGTAGGTGACCTCTTACTAAGTCTCTGTGCCGCAATCGGTTAGCATGTTCGGCTGTTAACTTAAAGGTTGGTAGTTCAAGCCCACCCAGGGACGAATTAGGCATTTTGCTGTCTTGCAACTGCTAACACGTGCACCGGGCATAGATCCTGGGCCACATTCTGTCCAGCGTTACAAGATGAAATCAGGATTTAGCAGAAGATTGTCATGGGTAGGGAAGGTTTAACTGAAATTGGTGTCTAGCTCTGGATAGAGCCTCTCATCAGCCCGGTTAGCTCAGTCGGTAAAGCATGAGACTCTTAATCTCAGGGTCCCTGGTTCGAGACCCACGTTGGGCGTTTCTGTTACTTTTCTCTCTTTCTCTCAGCAAACTTACATTAGGGTTCATTTAGCAGACCTTTTGAGAGAAAGTTACGCCTTTCTACCACTGTAGGTGACCTTTTCCTAAGTCTCTGTGGCGCAATAGGTTAGCGCGTTTGGCTGTTAACTTATAGGTTGGTGGTTCAAGCCCACCCAAGGAAAAATTAGGCATTTTGCTGCCTTGCAACTGCTAACATGTGCACTGGGCATATATCCAGGGCCACATTCTGTCCAGTGTTACAAGATGAAATCAGGATTTAGCAGAAGATTGTCATGGGTAGGGAAGGTTTAACTGAAATTGGTGTCTAGCTCTGGATAGAGCCTCTCATCAGCCCGGTTAGCTCAGTCGGTAAAGCATGAGACTCTTAATCTCAGGGTCCCGGGTTCGAGACCCACGTTGGGCGTTTCTGTTACTTTTCTCTCTTTCTCTCAGCAAACTTACATTAGGGTTCATTTAGCAGACCTTTTGAGAGAAAGTTACGCCTTTCTACCACTGTAGGTGACCTTTTCCTAAGTCTCTGTGGCGCAATAGGTTAGCGCGTTTGGCTGTTAACTTATAGGTTGGTGGTTCAAGCCCACCCAAGGAAAAATTTGGCATTTTGCTGCCTTGCAACTGCTAACATGTGCACTGGGCATATATCCAGGGCCACATTCTGTCCAGTGTTACAAGATGAAATCAGGATTTAGCAGAAGATTGTCATGGGTAGGGAAGGTTTAACTGAAATTGGTGTCTAGCTCTGGATAGAGCCTCTCATCAGCCCGGTTAGCTCAGTCGGTAAAGCATGAGACTCTTAATCTCAGGGTCCCGGGTTCGAGACCCACGTTGGGCGTTTCTGTTACTTTTCTCTCTTTCTCTCAGCAAACTTACATTAGGGTTCATTTAGCAGACCTTTTGAGAGAAAGTTACGCCTTTCTACCACTGTAGGTGACCTTTTCCTAAGTCTCTGTGGCGCAATAGGTTAGCGCGTTTGGCTGTTAACTTATAGGTTGGTGGTTCAAGCCCACCCAAGGAAAAATTAGGCATTTTGCTGCCTTGCAACTGCTCACATGTGCACTGGGCATATATCCAGGGCCACATTCTGTCCAGTGTTACAAGATGAAATCAGGATTTAGCAGAAGATTGTCATGGGTAGGGAAGGTTTAACTGAAATTGGTGTCTAGCTCTGGATAGAGCCTCTCATCAGCCCGGTTAGCTCAGTCGGTAAAGCATGAGACTCTTAATCTCAGGGTCCCGGGTTCGAGACCCACGTTGGGCGTTTCTGTTACTTTTCTCTCTTTCTCTCAGCAAACTTACATTAGGGTTCATTTAGCAGACCTTTTGAGAGAAAGTTACGCCTTTCTACCACTGTAGGTGACCTTTTCCTAAGTCTCTGTGGCGCAATAGGTTAGCGCGTTTGGCTGTTAACTTATAGGTTGGTGGTTCAAGCCCACCCAAGGAAAAATTAGGCATTTTGCTGCCTTGCAACTGCTAACATGTGCACTGGGCATATATCCAGGGCCACATTCTGTCCAGTGTTACAAGATGAAATCAGGATTTAGCAGAAGATTGTCATGGGTAGGGAAGGTTTAACTGAAATTGGTGTCTAGCTCTGGATAGAGCCTCTCACCAGCCCGGTTAGCTCAGTCGGTAAAGCATGAGACTCTTAATCTCAGGGTCCCGGGTTCGAGACCCACGTTGGGCGTTTCTGTTACTTTTCTCTCTTTCTCTCAGCAAACTTACATTAGGGTTCATTTAGCAGACCTTTTGAGAGAAAGTTACGCCTTTCTACCACTGTAGGTGACCTTTTCCTAAGTCTCTGTGGCGCAATAGGTTAGCGCGTTTGGCTGTTAACTTATAGGTTGGTGGTTCAAGCCCACCCAAGGAAAAATTAGGCATTTTGCTGCCTTGCAACTGCTAACATGTGCACTGGGCATATATCCAGGGCCACATTCTGTCCAGTGTTACAAGATGAAATCAGGATTTAGCAGAAGATTCTCACGGGTAGGGAAGGTATTACTGTAAACGGTGTCTAGCTCTTGAAAAAGCTCTTCATCCACCCGGTTAGCTCAGTCGGTAGAGCATAAGACTCTTAATCTCAGAGTCCTGGGTTAGATCCCCACGTTGGGCATTTCTGTTGCCTCTCTCTCTTAGCAAACTTTCATTAGGATTCATATAGCAGACCTTTTAAAACAAAGTTCCGCCTTTGCACCACTGTAGGTGACATTTTACTAAGTCTCTGTGGCGCAATCGGTTAGTGCGTTGGCTGTTAACTGATAGGTTTGTGGTTCAAGCCCACCCAGGGACGAATTAGGCATTTTGCTGTCTTGCAACTGCTCACATGTGCACTGGGCATATATCCTGGGCCACATTCTGTCCAGCGTTACAAGATGAAATCAGGATTTAGCATAAGATTCTCACGGGTAGGGAAGGTTTAACTGAAATTGGTGTCTAGCTCTGGATAGAGCCTCTCACCAGCCCGGTTAGCTCAGTCGGTAAAGCATGAGACTCTTAATCTCAGGGTCCCGGGTTCGAGACCCACGTTGGGCGTTTCTGTTACTTTTCTCTCTTTCTCTCAGCAAACTTACATTAGGGTTCATTTAGCAGACCTTTTGAGAGAAAGTTACGCCTTTCTACCACTGTAGGTGACCTTTTCCTAAGTCTCTGTGGCGCAATAGGTTAGCGCGTTTGGCTGTTAACTTATAGGTTGGTGGTTCAAGCCCACCCAAGGAAAAATTAGGCATTTTGCTGCCTTGCAACTGCTCACATGTGCACTGGGCATATATCCAGGGCCACATTCTGTCCAGTGTTACAAGATGAAATCAGGATTTAGCAGAAGATTGTCATGGGTAGGGAAGGTTTAACTGAAATTGGTGTCTAGCTCTGGATAGAGCCTCTCAT